GCTTGACCGGATCTTTTCGTCTAGGTGGCAAATGATCATGGTAAAAGATTAGCCCAGAATCATGGATAAGAGGGAAAATCTCAACCACCTCAAGGATGTAAGGCTCTTGATTTTTAACGTGCTCGGTTGCTGGTTGTTTGGTCTCGGATAGAAGAGATGAAATTTCGATCATGCTTGGGGCAATTGGTGGAGCATTTACATCATTTTCACTCTCGAACAGGCTGTTATCGGGGCCCCCGATAGCAGTAGTAAATGCTACCAGGTTTTTATCGGGAGGGCCGATATCAGCAAAAATTTGCTCCTCATTGCCTTGTTCTTCATTCTCTTCGCCGTTTGGCTCAAAATTACGTTCGTCCAGCACCTCAGGCTCTGTGTCGCTGCACATCCTCAGGTCTCCGACATCATCGTGGCTGGCTTCGGCTTGAGATAATAGCCGACTCTTGGCTCGGGCATCCAGTTCGCTCAATACATCACCAATCGCTTTGCTACTAGCCATCAAAGAAATTTGACACTCTTCAAATAACTCCATCAATGACGGACTAGTCTCTTGTTCAAGCGAAGGTTCTGAAAAATATTGTGAGCCTTCATAGTGGAATTGAGAGTCATCGTGCTCATAAGTAGGCTCATACGATCGAGAATACTGTGGATTTCCATAGAATGAATTTCCACGATCGCCCCAACCGTAATAGTTCCTATCGAAATTTGAATACGCCCCATCATCTTGTCGGTACCAATCTCTCTCGGTAGCTCTACGTGCACCATACCTCTCGAACAAAAAGGGACAATCATCGGTGACGTGACTTGTAGTATGACATAGACGACATGGTCTTTTTAAAGCTTGACGAACACTCTCAATGGCTCCTTGGATCATAGCCGACATATTAGCCTCACGTTGTTGGTCTCTTATTTCCCTCCTTTTCATTTCATAATATGAATTGTAAGAGTAAGCACAATCCGGGCTCCAAGACGTGTCCATATCGAACAAATACCACCTACAAAAGACAAATAAAATAAAAAGGGGATTAAAAGAGTAAAAGAAAATTAAAATTTAATCTAACTACCTAATTCAATTAACACTAGAAAAAATCACAACTCAATTGCGCCACTCCCCGGCAACGGCGCCAAAATTTGACCGCGCGTCGCGACGCGGCAAATTTAAATTTATAAATTATCCTCAACTAACCTCTACTAACTAGTAGTAGTGGCGAGTAAGGGTCGATCCCACGAGGAGCAGGAATTAAATTGTGACAATTTTGGTATTAATTGAACTAACTAGAAAAGCAGTAAAATGGGGGGTTTGGTTTTATAAAAAATAACAGAAGAAAATAAAATAAAAATCAAATAAAATGAGAGAAGTCCAGTTTTCGGTTCAGTTATCACCCAATTTAAATTTACCGTTAACCAATTTCGACGCCTTCTTTAAGTTGCTAATGAATTACCGACCCTAGCTAACAACAAGCTCTGTTAACCGAATTTTCCCTTACTGAATATTTAATCGAAATAAGCTCTTCGACTAAACCTAACTAGTGGACAACCTAGAATAAGCTCTCTAGATTTAATACACTAGCAGCATTAATCACTAGGAAAATAGATCAGTCTAAGCAATGGACGCGTAAGCTCGGACCATTTAACTTATGTTCACGCTACCCTAAGGATGCACGACCCCTAGTTTACTACTAACGAAACAAGACAATAACAATTACGGATTAAAGTCTCGTATCTAGCAGTTAAACTATGAATATTTAACGTAGTTGGCCAGACTAAATCAAACACCATAG